TAGAACAAGAACTACTGATAGCAGAAGAGCAAAAAAGAAGAGAAGCTGAGCATAATAGCAGAGAAAAGAGGATAGTACTAGAAAAGCAATACAAAGAAAAAATAAAATTAAAAGAAGAATATGATCAAATAGAAAAGACTAAGCTAGTTCGCAAGCAAAAAGAGCTATTAATAGTTAAAGAAAAAGAGGAAGAAGAAGAGATGTTCTGTAATTATGAATCCCTCATCACTCAGGAAGTTAAAAGAATCAAAGAAAAGAAAGCTAACAAAGAAAAAACAGCAATAGAAATCCTGTTTCAAGATGATCAATCAATAGAGTTCCCAAAGATCACTATAGAAAAAACGGCTAGTAGCATTACAAATATAGTAATACAAATATACTAAGAAGCAAAATTAACACCTGAAGCAGAAATGAAAGTCTATATTCCACAAGTAGAAGACAAAATTGTAGAAGATATAGTAGAACAAAAAGTATTAGGATATGAAGAACTCTATAGAAATTCTCTTGAAGATAGTCTATGAGCCTCTAATGAGAATACGTGCAAAGAACTAGAAGAGTACAAGGCAAAAATAGTATCAATTTCATTCCTAGACAAGTCTAAAGAAGAGAGAATCAAGTTCATAGAGGAAACTCTTTACAGAAGCAAACATATAAGCAAAATTGAAGAGTGCTTTATGAATGGGAACTCATAGATCATCATCAGCTTTGACTGCTATAAAGGAGTTAAAATCTTAAAAGAAAGGTTAAAGAAAAAAGCAAATGAGTAGTATAATATTCTGTTTGAAGATAACGAGCTAGTACAGAAAGTATTAGAAGCAAAAATGATAACAAAAATAGTAGAAAAACCACTAAAGAGAAAACAAAAAAGGTACTAATTAAAGACAAAGTGAATGATGAAGAAAACGATAAAGCCAAAAGAGAGAAACAAGCCCAAAAAGAGCTAAAAGAAGTATATACCATAGGTTTTCTAATTCTTCTGCAACTGTAGTGTTTGATATAAAATTAATTACTGCTCTTGTTTTTCTATATGTTTCTTTAATTATTTTAATGTGATTAACTCTTCCAAAATATCGTATATTTTCAAAGATTTGTAATCTTTTTGCATAACTTGAAAGATCCCAAACTGTTATCACATTTCTGATGTTATCTATTGTTTTTGTTTCTGTTTGTTGACTACTGTTAGAATACCTTCTTTCTTCAGAGAATGCTTTTCTTTTGTTATCTTGTACAGATC